TTCAGCTTCTTCCTAAGTAGAAAATGAATAACTGTGGATCTTTTCTAGTGTTAATATGAGGATCAAATAGATCGACAGAGCACTGGTGATTGTGTTGGCCTACTATCACGTGCAGAGTACTACACTAAGTCTTCAGATGTAATCCTAAGAAGCCATGAGGAGTTGCCTCTAGAGTACTCTCCCTGACCAATGCAACATGAGCAAATACAAAAGAAAGTTTTAAATTCTCCTTTTTTTTTTTTTTTTTTGGTACCGGGGGTCCTTATGCTTGCGCAGCAGGCGGTGAAACCACTGAGCTAAATCTCTGGTCCTTCTCCCTTTTTTTTTTGAGAAAGGGTCCACTACGTAGTTCAGGTAGGCCTCAAACTCACTATGTAGCCCAGGCTGGCCTTGAGTTCATGGTGACTCTCCTGCATCAGCCTTCTGAGTGCTGGGATTACAGCCATGCACCACCGTGCTTGGCTCTCCTTGGTTTTTTATTTTTAACTTTCAGGCTGAAGAAGTTTGACATATAAAATTTGATTTACATCCAAAATTCTGCTACTAAAAGTGTCTAAAGAGACTCATCCACATATGCATGTGTGCTAAGTATTTTTTAAAGTAGTTTAAAAACTAAGTAGTTTTTCAACTGCTCTAAATTTCCTTCTTGGAATGGATGACACTGCCATTGCACAGAAAGGCCAGTAGGTGGCTGTCCACAGCCTCACACAGTTATACCTGCAGCACACATCTTCACAAGGCAGTTTTGAGAGAGTTAAAAAAATGAGTAAGAAAGACTATGGACACAGATGTTGAAACTATATTTTGTAAAGGCCTTAGGAATGTTTTTAAAGGTAAAATGCAATGAATATATAATTCATTTGTTTTCACCCTTAAAATCTCATTACATTATTGAAAGAAGTATTTATTTGGGTACAACCTTCCAGAGAGCAACTTTGTACCAAAGTATTTAAAACAGTCTTATTCTTTGATTTAACCATCAGATATCTATATCTATATCTAGAGATCTAGATAGACACATACATATCTATACCTATATAGATATCTAGAGATATAGATAGACATATACATATCTATCTCGATATATAGGAATTACACATACATGCGTATTGAAGAGGGAAGGTGGTGATTGTGGCCCACCAGAAATATTTGACCGTGACCATGTCTGGATACATGCTTGAATGTCAAGACTTAATAGGAAGGATTACTACTGGCATCTAGTGGGTAGAGGTCAGTGATACCAAACACCCTATAAAACATAATACCGATGGATGTGGTGGTGAACACCTGTAATCCTAGCACTCAGGAGGCTGAAAGAGGAGGATCTCCATGAGTTTGAGGGCAGCCTGGGCTACATAGTGAGTTCAAGGTCAGCCTGAACTACATAGCAAGACCCTGTCTCAAAAACCAATCAAACAGAGGCTGGGGATTTAGCTCAGTGGTTCCGCCTCCTGACTCACAAGCGCAAGGACCCGAGTTCAATTCCTGCTACCAAAAAATACACAAAAAACAAAAAACAAAAAAAACCCCCAAACAAACAAACAAACAAAAAAACTCCCAAAGGACAGCCCCACCCCATATCCAGCCCCAAAATGTCAATTATCCTGACTGTGAGAAGCCCAGATCTACAATCATGTACCTCATTATACTGTTTAGAAGAGTAAAAAATGGGGGAAAAAAAGAAGAGCTAAAGATGGGAAAAGAAACCTAAATATCTAAATAGAGGACTGGTTTATCAAATTGGGAAATAATTTTCTATTCAATTCATGATTATTTGGTTATTAAAAGGTATGTTGCAAAATAGTATATTTATTTTGATAAAATAATCAAATTGTACATAGACTATGAGTCTATTTTTTAAAAGAGCTACATACATTACCTGAGGGTGTATATAAACAATGTTTGTCTTGGAATGGTGGAATTATTTACAGTTTGTTCATCTTTTGCTTATTAATTTCTATTATTTCTTCAATACTATGTCACATCTAATATTAGAACATAATATTTTAAATAGAAATTTGGGGACATAACAACTGCTACTTTTCAAGATAGAATACAACAAATGTTTGAAAACAAAACTAATAAACTTTAAAATACTGATCCTCCTCCCAAATATCTCCCCTAACTTCCTTGGCCCTTGCTCCCCAGCCCTTGATAAATACAATTTTAATCTCTATTTCTGAGCCTTTTTAGGTTCTGCCTATCAGTGATATCATACAGTATTTATCTTTCTGTGTCTGACTTATTTCATTTAACACAATGTCCTCCAGTTTCCTCTCTGTTAAATCAGGATTTCCTTCTTTTTATAGGGTAAATAATATTCCACTGTGTATATATTATATTTCTTTATGTATTCATTAATGAACACTTAGGTTGTTTCCATACCTTGGCTATAATGAATAATGTTGCAGTGAACAATGGGGAGTGCAGATGCCTCTTTGAGATATTATTTCACTTTCTTAGCATAGATAGCTAATATGGGATTTCTGGGATATATGAGTGGTTCCATTTTTAATATTTTAATGAATATCCATACTACTTTTTAAAAATATAGTGATGTTGTTAATTACAGTGGTCTAATACTACATTACCCAGCCATTTCCTCAGTTTCGGCTCCATCAGCCATTTTCCCATACATGCTGGGCATATTCTGCCCTTTTCTGTACTGAAATTCCTTTTTTAATTGTTCAGAAAGTTAACATGTTCACCATTTCCTCAAACACTTAAAAAGTAAGTGTGAGGGGCTGGGGGTTTAGCTCAGTGGTTCTGGTGCCTGCCTTGAAAGCCCAAGGTCTGGAGTTCGATCCCTGGTACCAAAAATAAATTAATTAATTAATTAATAAAAAGTAAGTGTGATGGCTTGTGTTTAGATGTCCCCCCAAAGCCTCATTCAGTCATAGGTGGGACTTTTTCAGAGGTGGCTGGATCTAGTGTGATGCTGGAATTGATTCATGGTGCAATTCTAGGATTAAGGGCACTAGGATTAAGGGTGTGACTGCTACCTGCCCTAAGTAGCTTGATAAGATATAAGAGCTAGAAAGAGCTATGGTCCTCCCTTGCTTGCTTTTCTGTCTTCTGCCTGCCATGAACTGTTTCTCCTCTGCGATGTCCCTCTGCCATGTGCCACTCTGCCTTGGAGCCAGCCAGCTATGGACTGAAACCTCTACTAACTGTAAGCCAAATAAACTTTTCCTCCTTTAACTTTTTTGATGTCAAGTATTTTGTCTCAGCAACTAGAAAAGTAACTAAGACAGTAAGACAAGACTGATAATAGATATGGAAGGTTTGTTTTTGAAAACAATTATAATTGTACTTCTCTAGCACTCCTTGAGTTTCTGGGTGTCCTGTGAGCATTGGTAAGATATGAAGACAAAAAACAATGAAGGCTGGTGTCCACTTTCCCTGAAGGTACACACTCACCACCCTTGGTGCTTGTCAGGTAAAAGGCCGAAAACCAAGACCAGACCAGGCCACAACAAGCCTTTATTGTAGGGAAAATCTGCCAGGCTGTCTCTGAACAAAGAGATGCAAAAGCAATAAGGCCAAGACAGGAAGTGCCTTTTATAGGAGCAGGGGTGGGGCTTGCAGGAGCTGAGGTGGGGCTGAGTGAGGTAGTGGCTAGGGACTGGAGGAGCCTGTGATGTTGTCACTAGTTGCTAGGGGAAGAACAAGTATTAGGTTACTCTTTTGGTGAGAGTAGGGGCATTTTGGAAAGAAGGTAGCTATTATATACAGCAGCCACCCTAAATTGGAGGGAAATCTATCAGTGCTAATCTAGTTTGGGTTGATCACATCCAGAGAGTTGGTCAGCTGCATGTTTCTTGTTACAGATAACCACACCAGTAAGTTAAGGTCCCAAGGTTATGTAGTCTTGTTTGAGTTACAGCTACTAAAATAGGAACACAGGTTTCTAGATCTTCTGCTGCAAATTCTGCTAATAAGTATTTATTGTCAATGGATTACATTAAAAAAATAACTGAATCAGAAAATATCCAAATTTAACATTTAAATTAATTGCTAAATGGCAGCAAAATCTGGTATATCCATCAAACAAAGACAGTTATTAGCCAAGTCGTTTCAAATATAATTTCCCCATAAGGATCAGAAGAGAACACCTCAAGAAAAAGCCCTGATGAGGGGTCAGTAGTGCTCTGTTCTTCACCAGTTCAATACATACAGATATCTCCTTTGGCTCTGTGCTTCAACTACAGTTGAAGCCTGAGGTTATTTCTTCTTTCTGCCCTCTACTAAAACCCATCTCAAGGATTTGGTTCCATTTAACCTCGGCCTCAGCTTCTTTATTTTTACTAGTAATGTTTGCAGTACATAAGGATTATATTCATCATGGGGAGTTGGTACAGGTACATAACACATCTTAATTCTTTTTACTCCGCCAACCCCCTTCTCTTGGCCCCTTTCCCATTTGCAAAAGATCTATCTCCCTGTTTTCTATTATCTGTCTTGACTATGTGTGATACGCTCTCCTCTGACCAGCTGAGCATTCTTGGGTTTCCAGGGCCCTTTGTCATGTATTTGATTATGAACAGATGTTCAGTGTTAAGGAAATCCTAGAGGTCTAATCCAATACAGTATTTCTGTATCCGAAAAGAGAGGACATCACGTTTTAGAATGGGGAACTAGCGTGTTCCAGGCCCGACCTCGGGGTTCCGCACTCCCACCCAAGGGTGCGAAGTGTTCACCCTCACATCCCCTAAACGAGGAGGAGCCACCGCCAGGTCTCTTGCAGGAGACGAAGATGCTTATGCCGGTTTAGGGAGCCAGAAGCCTAAATAAAACAAACGGACATTTCAGGCGCGGATAAACTGCTGCCTACTAATTTTAGAAGGAACAATATCTGGCTTGTTGGAATCTTTTTTTCCCCAAGAGCCATGTTAATTAAACTCAGAATAGTCGCTCACTTGTTCAGACAAAAGCGAGTTGATTTGGTTTGGGAAGCAAAACTTGAACTATGAAAACTACAAAGGCAGGCTGCCCTTTACCAGTGGACAAGGGGCAGTGCGTCGGTCAGGGGAGTTTCTCAGGTTTCAGCCGCGCCTGCTCGTCTTCTAGGCCAGGTGGCTGGACAACCTAGGTAGCTGCGCCGGCGGGAACCCCATCCTGAGGGGCTGTGACTCCGCCTAGACGAAAGGGGGCGCCCTGAGCCGCGCCGTTCCCGCCAACGACGCGGGTGCTCCAGCCTGGCGCCTCGTAGCCGCCTCCTCAGCGCGCGCGCGAGTCGGTTCCTCTTCCGGGGCAGGAGAGACCCGGATGCCCGTGAGTTATATAACTGCCGCTCGGGGCTCTCGCCTTTCTTTCTGAGGAAGAGGCGTACGTGGGGCAGGCTTTGTTGGCCGCGTCCGCTCGTGCTCCTGGCTCACCGCTGTTCGCTCTCGCCGAGGAATAAGTCGGTCAGGAAGCCGCGCCGCCGCCATGGTGAGAAGAGCGGCGCCGCGCGGCTCGGGCTAATGTTGCGGACCCGGCGGGCGGCGGGAGCGCGCGGGCTCGGCTCGGTTCGGCTTCCCAGCAAAGGGCTCCCGCGATGGTGGAGGGACCGGGAGGCCACAGGATCACCTTATGAACTGCTTTTTTGTTGTGCTTTTCGCCTTTCATGTGTAATAACAGGCTTTCAAAGACACTGGAAAGACGCCCGTGGAACCTGAGGTGGCGATTCACCGCATTAGGATTACCCTCACCAGTCGCAACGTGAAATCCCTGGAGAAGGGTCAGTAGGGTAGTTTTGAGGTGAAAAATAATGTGTTTGACTTCGTCCATGCAATTGCCTGGAAGTGGCAGATGGCTAATCTTATAAAGATAAGAACGAGCTGAAATTATTTTCAGTTCCCTTGTTACTTGGTAGCAATTAGACGTTTGGCGATGAGGAGACACCGACTGTGTTGAACTATAGTGATAGCTTTATACGCTATTCTGAGCCAGCAGCTGAGGTTTCTTAAACCAGTTTTAATTGTTTGGAGCGAACTGTGAGGTTTTGTTTTGTTTCAATTTCCTCGTAGTGTGTGCTGACTTGATTAGAGGTGCAAAGGAAAAGAATCTCAAAGTGAAAGGACCTGTTCGCATGCCTACTAAGGTAAGTACATCTTGGGGACAGGAAGTAGTCTGGCTGGCAAAAGCATTGTTTGATGTTAACAGTACAAGCCCAAATTAAAATTGCTAGTGTTGCATGTATTGGGTACCTAATGTTTAGAAGTGGCTGTTTGAAGTCCCAGGTTCTGGGTGGACTGTTCTGGCAGGGTGAAAGAGCACTGGTGGTCTCACATGAAATATACTCTGTACTCAGATAACAGTTTTAGACAGGTCCTATGTCCTGCAGATAAGCGTTAAACACTAGGTTTCTTTTACCTTTTGTTGCAGACCTTGAGAATCACTACAAGAAAAACGCCTTGTGGTGAAGGTTCTAAGACATGGGATCGTTTCCAAATGAGAATCCACAAGCGACTGATTGATTTGCACAGTCCTTCTGAGATTGTTAAGCAGATTACTTCCATCAGTATTGAGCCAGGAGTGGAGGTTGAAGTCACTATCGCAGATGCCTAAGGCAACTGTTTTAATAAACTGATAAACAATTGTTAAAATGTGTTGACTTTCATTTGACATGTCTGTTAGGAAGAGAAAGGTGTCTTATGAATTTTATTTCACTTTTCAAGTAAAATCTAGACTGATATATTTAAGAAACCCACACCCGTTTATTCTTTAGACTATTTGAACCATTCATAACAATTCAAGACAGTAGTGCATTGAGCCACGTTGATGTAAATGCCATTTTTCAGTGTGGTGTAGCAGTTTGTAACTTTAGTCATGTGTTGGAACTCTTATGCAGAGAAGTGGTAATAGGGAAGTAAGTGTCCTACTGGCACTTAATGTTAACATCAATGGGTCATATCTGGATAGACGTTTTAAAATAAATTCCTTGGAAATACTTATTACAGAGCAGGTCTTTCTATGTGAGGATGTTTACATACATATGTATGTGCACATAGTAATGGTGCTGTTCTACAGGTAAGCTGGCTTTGAGCATTAAAGTTCGTTATTGTAGCACTACAGTGGCCTTCCTGAAATTTAAACAGGTTTGCCAGAACAGAATTTGTTCTTTGTGACTTAAAGGTTTTTGCTATTAAAATTTATTACAAGATACCAGTTTAATTTTATCTGAAGGGAAATTTCCAGAAATGTGTGTTTAGAAGGTATTTAAGCATTTTTACAAATTTTGTAAAATTCCCTTGGAAAAATTTTAGTTACCCCTCTTGCTACTTAAATAGGATTACAGTCCTGGGGTAATTCATGCTTTTCCTTTGGGTTTGGGCTTCAGAATTATTAAGTATACTCGCATTACTTTGGTATGTCTTAAAGTCAATGGAAATTTCTGTATATATTGTTTCACACAGCTCAAGAGTTGACATACCTGAAATGAAATTCATCTCTCAAGCCCTGTGATCTGTCTCAGCCCATGGTCCACCATATAGGTACACAGACTGTTGCCTGAAAGTGGAATCTTTTATCCTCTCCTGTTCCCCTTAACAACATTACCTTTATGTCTTTTAGCAGATCTCTTAAACAGAACTTAGGTTAACATCAGGGATTCAAGTTGCTAAACTTGCATTAAAAATCCAGGATTTTTAGGGCTGGGGATTTAGCACAGTGGCACCAACCGTACCTGCCTTGCAAGCACAAGATCCTGAGTTCAATCCCCAGTTCCAAAAAAAAGAAAAGGATTTTTAAATGTAAATTAGACCAATATTTTTGCAGTGAGCCATTTTTTCTTCTAAAATTATGTAAGAGTAGCTTGGGGAACACTTAACAATTTTGTAAATACACTACTATTGTAATTCATGAATGTTTTAGGATATGGGATAATTAACAATCAATGCTAATGATCTGTTCTTGTCAGAGAAGCTGGCTTTAGTTTAATTCTTGAGTGAATTCTCAAGAGCCAGAGAATAAGGCCTGTATGTTCTATAGCTCCATTTTAAGTATTCTGCACACTAGGGAGTGCTGGAGAGCTGTTAAGGTTACCTGGAGATGTGTGGCTTACAGAAGTACAGCACAGATTAGTTTTAATTATGTTAAGTATATTGGAAGATAGAAGTCTGGAATATACAGTATCCTGAGAGGACTAATAGGGAAAAGATCTAGATTCTGTGAAAACATTAAAGTCACTTAAAACTAAAGAGCAGATTCTGTGAAAAATCCCTCAATCCCAAAATGAACTGTTGTGAGCTTGAGTAATTGTATTTTTTTTTACCAGTAGATGGTGTTAAAGCTGGGAGTAATACTTCAAAAGCCTCTTACGTGCCTGAAATACAGTGCTTCACATCTAGGGAACTTATTAATTTCTATCCTTTTGGATACAAAACCCCAGCATGACCTTTGAATGTAAAGAATGGAGCACAGGTTAAACTGGTAATGATTTTGTGAATGCTGTTGGCCATCTTGTATGGATGGGAAGTTAAAGGTTTACAGTGAGAGCCTTCAGTCATCTCTGGATTCACAGAATACTGCTTTGCTTCTATTTTAGAAATGTGACCTAGCTAATTTAGCAAGGGAATTGGAACTATATCACTGTTCATTGCTAGATCAGATTTCTTCACCTGGCTTCTCTAGAGTGCTTGTGTGTATGCTCTGTGGATGTAAAATGAATAAGAGGATGTATGAATAGAAAGCCTGGCCATGCACACATAATTCCAGATATACTTAGATAAGAGGGCTTAATCGAGTTACATCTTTAAGCCTGGGCCCATGTGCCAAATAAGGATAGTGATAGTAACTATCTCAAATGTGTATTTGGGTGTTCCATTGCCATTGTCTCTCTGGGAAATATTTTCCATTTAAACCAAGACTAGCTTGCTAAGGGCAGGGATTTCGTGCTCCAGGACCTTGATTCCCAGAGGATGTGGCACACTAGCTCACCTATGCTGGATTGTTACTGAGAAGTATATTTGAACCCCCAGGGCATGCTCTTCTCTTTTTTTCCTTTAAGGGGAATTGAACGTAGGGCCTTTGCACTGAGCTACATCCACTTTTCTAGGTAGTTGCAGGATTGATCTGCCTCTGATAGTCTCAGTGCCCAGAATACTGGGATTACAGGTGTGTACCACCATACCCAGCTGGGACATTTCTAACAGCATCGTCAACAAACAAGTGACCAAGCCAGTCTAACGGTATTGAGAATTTGGCAGAGCCAATTTTCTATTTTGAAAGAGGGGCTAAATTAATACTTCCTTCATCGTAGAAATAGCATATTTTAGTTTAATAACAAACTCAGAACCAGAGAACTGAATGCCAGTTTATTTTTGCTTTACATATTGTAGTTAAATTTTTTCATTAACTTAAAAACGCCCTATCCTAAGAGATACTATTAACACCAGATTTTTCAGAACTTTTATGTACATGTTAGTATATATAATAAATCTAGTCATAAAATTTTAATACAAATAAGACTACTAAATTACTGTAATTTGATCAGTCTTAAAAGAGTTTTTAAATTGACCATTATACATGCTTATGAGGTTCAGTATGTTGTACATATATACAACGTGTAATGGTCAAATCAAGATAATTATTTCCTTACATTGGGCCGAGGATGTAGCTCTGGCACAACACTTACCTGGCAACCTCGAGGCCCTGAGTTTGATTCCCGGTACCAAAAAAAAGAAAAATTTGCAGTAAACATTACATTGAGAACATTTGGACTCCGACTCCCACTTTTTTTTTTTTTTTT